GTTATTAAAACTATATATTCGTCCACTGTTTGATATCGATTAAAATTTAAATTTTAATCGAAATTAAAGTCAATAATTAATTTTAACGACATATTTTATAAGTCTCACAACCTTTTAACTACAGATTTCATCAACTTCTATCAAATTCTATTAAAAATATGATTTTTATCCTTACGGAACTCAATAATGAGAATGCGACAGTTTGCACTTTGTACACCATAGTTTTTTAGACTCATCCGCTTTGTTCTTTGTTTCTTTAATTTATACCAAACAAAAATAATAGTGCATATTATTATTATTTTTTTAACCTTAAACTTATACAGTAAATTAGTGAGACACATGCGCAAGGCACGTGCAATAGTGTAGTTGGCTATTTAATAGTGTAGTACAGTGTTGGTTATTTTTACGACATCACTAATCAAATCTTATTGGGTAATACTGATTATTGAAAAGTGATAGACAAGTTTTTATGCAATAATCTGATCAATTTCAATGGAATGAATAGATAGAAAAAAATTTTATACGATAAGAAAGAGATTGTTATCCATAAAGAATAAATGGATGAATTAATATAAAAAAATTCCAAACAGATTACAAAAAAATATTTTAAGCTGCAAACATAGGATGATTTATACATTTCAAAACTGCACTTCATACACTATTATAGTAAAGTTACAAGCTGAAACATCATGGAGCTTGTTACACATTCTTACTAAGTTCAAACTTCATTGAAGAGTTTTCATACAAATGTATAAGTTGTGATTTGTGATCGATAAATAAATTGTGACTTATAAACTTTTGATTTGTGATCGATGAATAAATTGTGACTTATAAACTTTTGATTTACGACCAATGAATAAATTGTGACTTATAAAATTTTTGAATTGTGATCGTAAAATAACTTGTGATATATAAAATTTCTGATTTGTGATCGAAAATAATATATGACTAAATAAATTGTTCATTTATGATCAAATTATATAGATCTGTAACCTTAATATATTACTTAATAAATTAATTAATTAAATCATACATAAATTTTAATAAATATTTAATTTTTAAAATTTAAAATTTTTATTCTTAATTTTGAAATAAATGATACTTTTTCCACTGAACTTTCAGATGGTCCCCCACGCAGGACACACGGGCCTCACCAAAGTCCAATCCTTTCAAGTTTTAACTCATGTCCTAAGCCACTGAACGCAGCCCATTTTCACACAACCCCCGGATCTTCCTGCAACCTTCACAGTTCCCTCAAAAACCCTAGTACCTCGCTCTCTTGCTAACTACTGCATCGCCGGGAATCATCATATGGCGTCGAGTGGACAAACGGTGTTGCAGTTTTCATCATCATCGACAAGTGTATCGGCTAGGGTCCATCCGCTAGTCATCTTCAACATATGCGATTTCTATGTAAGGAGAGCCGACCAAGCCGAGCGGGTCATTGGCACTCTCCTCGGATCCGTTTTACCTGACGGTACAGTCGATATTCGTAACTCTTACGCCGTTCCACACAATGAGTCTTCAGATCAGGTTTGATTTTCTCCATTTTCCACTTCGATGGCTTGGTTTGTTCATTTGAAGAAAACTACGACAGATTGTTGTAATTTTCCGGATATTTAGGGGCAAGCTTTTTCCTGCTAGTAAATAGTCATTATCGTAAGTCGCCAGGTTAATTGTTTCTGTATATAGAGATATTTTTCGAGTTACACCACCAGAATACACGTATTTGATCTCAATTACTGCACTTTTTACTTAATTGCATCGTTTATATTTTGAATTTTCGAGCTGAGTTTTCAATGTTGGTTTTGTTATAAAGAAAATTATGTTTTCTTTCCTTGGTGTGATGAATTTTGGTAAAATGGGACCTTTTATGCTTAATATGTGAAACTTATTTTTTGCAATTTATTTGGCCTTTAGGTTGCGTTGGATATTGATTATCATCACAATATGCTGTTATCCCATCAGAAAGTGAACCCGAAGGAAGTCATTGTTGGATGGTAATCTTTATTATATTTACTTCTTTTTATTTTTTCTAATTGTCATATGAATCTGGGTTGAAATTTTAATGCTTGTCTATGTTATTTTGACATTTTTGAAGCACTTATTTTTCTTTGCACACACATTCCACTTCCATTTTTATTTTTTTAAAATAGATTTATGACTGATGCAATGTCATAGTTCAGTATCTTATTTCATCTTATTTTTCAGTCCATCCAATTAATCAAGAAGCAATCTAATGTAACCTAAATGCTGCCGTTTCATACTCATTCATGGGGTTCACTAACGTTAGGACAGCCATCTCTTGAATATTACTGTTGTAGAAGTGACGCACCATGTTATCTTGTAAATCACTTTAGCTCAAAGTTAAATATGAGCTGTAGTTGTTGTAGATTTGCACTTTTGGGATATTATTTTTTGAATTTGGGGGACAACAGAGTTCAACTTAAGTATCTTATAAGGCAGAGGTCTTGTGTTAGAATTCTAGGGACATGAAGAAATCCGTGAGGGGTAAGATGCGATCTAGCTCTTCCATAGCAAACAAGAGAACGCTAGGCATGAGGCCTGATTTGTTACAAAATGCACGTTTTTTGTAACAACCCGAGCCTCGTGCTCAAGCCGTTATATCATACATACCGTTCTTCTCTTACACTTTACGAATTTCTATTGCGCTTTTAGAATTCGAATCCAAGACCTTTGGCTTATGAGAAATTTAAGTTGAATCTTGGTACCACTTTCGTGTTACTTTGTATTATTTTTTTGTTTTTTACCAAAATATAATTGAATTGAAATTGAGATATTGATGCAAGTTCTTTCGTCTCAAGGACCGACTGAGAAGTTATTACCTTTCAACTTGACCACATTTAGGTTGATTACCAGGATTTAACTTACGTCTATTGTAAGGTAGAGGTATTTGGTTTGAATTCTGGGGACGCAATAGAAATTTGTGAGGGATATGATGGGTTTTAGGCTCTCCCAAAGTGGATAGTATGTATGTTATAATAGTTTGTGCACGAGGCTCGGATCATTACAACCAAGGTGTAACCTCCCAAATTTTAATTTCCAAAACTTGAAATTTTACATAAATAAATTTTCGTGGCATATGGATCGGGATACGGCCCTGCCTTAGCGGCCGCGAATTTTTATTTATTTATTATATATTTTTAAGAGAAAAGTAACATGATAGTATAAATTCTTGTTTTTTTGAGAAAATAAAGTTTTCATTTGTAACTAAAAGGGGAGTCAATAATTTCACTCAACAAATTTAAAGTAGTCATATGATGTTTAAATTTAAATAACATTCATGACTAGATTTTCATTTAGTATTTTCAAGTTTAGTAAGTTTTGACATTCATGTTTTATTTATATTTCGTTTAAATGGACATTTGAATGATGTTATTTAAATTTAAATATTATGTGATTACTATATTGAATTTGTTGAGTAAAATTATTGACTCCCCTTTTAGTTACAATGGAAACTTCTTTTTCTTAAAATGAGGATTTATGCAATTCTGTTGTTTTTCTCTTAAAAAAAATGAAATAAATAAATAAAGATTTTGGTAACACTTCAAGTTTTGAAAATTAATAAGGTTTTGTTGGGTAAGTGGTTATGGCGATTTGGCGTAGAGAGGGAGAGTTTCTGAAGAGAAATTATTGAAGAGAAATATGGTATTATGTAGGGTGGATGGTGTTCAGTTGAGGGTCGTGGTATCTACGGGGTGAGTTTGTAGCGGTATATTCGGCGAGGGTGGAGTGACTTTCAGAATAGAGTGACATTTGGTGCGGGGAATGGCAATACTATCAGCTTTTGAGATGATTGTTGGTGTACAGATCAACCACTAAGGGAGAGATTTCCTTCTTTGTATCGTATTGTCGTGATGTCATCTGTTATGGTGAATGATGTATTAGATACACATAATTGGAGCATCAGCTGGAACATTGTTTTTTGGAAGGGGATTACAAGATTGGGAAGTGGATGACTATTGACCTCTTTGTATGAAGTGCATATTAGGGTTGGAAAGAGTGATCACATCATGTGGACGCTAGCAAGGGATGACATTTTCTCAGTTAGCACTTATTTTAGATCTTGATTAGGATCTGCGGATAATTTATTCCCTTGGAAGATGGTTTGGAAGTGTAAATTGCCTCTAAGGGTGGCATTTTTACTATGGACTACCGTGAGGGGACAAGTGTTAACGGTAGATAATCTTCGATTGAGGGGGTTTTATATTACAGATTGGTATCATATGTGCAGAAACGATGGGGAAACGATTGACCATTTGTTTCTCCATTGTGATGGCTCTTGTTTGCTGTAGAATGATATTCTGGCTTCTCAACATGTGGATTGGGTGATGCCAAGGCATATGGAAGATATGTTGAAGGCATGGAGGAGAAAGTTTCGTGGCAAGGACAGTAAACTTATTTGTGACCTTATTCCAGGCTGCATTGTTTGGTGCGTGTGGAAAGAAAGAAACGGGCGCTGTTTTGATGATCACATAAAGACTTTAGAGTAGTTTAGAGAAATATTTTATTTGACATTGTATAATTGGTTTAATGCTGCAGTTTGTAGTCGCATAGATGGGTTGCCTAATTTCATGATGTTTATTTCTTGTTTACGTGTATAATACACTTCCTGTGTATTACCTTTTGATTAATAAAATATTTGAGTACTTATTAAAAAAAAAACAAAAAAAAAACACTTCAAGTTTTGAAAATTAAAATTTTGGGCGATACAGAAATTATTTCAACATATTCCAATCTAGTTTACGGAGAGGGAAATTTAATTCTGACAATTTATTGTGATGATGAAATCCTGCGAAAATTTATAATTTTATATTTTTTGGCGTTGGAATTATTTAATAATTATTCTATCCATATACTAAATAATGTTTTAGTTAAGTGGAGGAAATATACTGACACAGTTGTACAGAATATATTTTAGCTTGAGCTTATGGTATGTTATTGGGGAGCATATTATGGTGGGTGGAATAAGAGTTCTGCTTTTCCATCTCAGAAGAATCCCTAGCTGACTGTATTTTATCTTGGACAACTTGGATATCAAGTCATTGACATTGTATATGCTATTTATGGTTTTTCCATTTATCATGGATTCCTTATTTTCATATGCGTACTTCTTCCCTCTCAAAGTTTTGGTCTAATGGTCACTACCTTTAATTAGGATTTGATAAATATTTCTCTGGCTTGTGATTTCACTGGAAACTGAAAAGACAGTACTAAACTGAGGATGTTATCATGCTTGATCGAGGCACGGGATCTGCTTTTGTAGACAGACTGTGCTCTGTTTGTATGACGGAACTCTGTACTCCTCCTTAACTCATCTGAAACAAAATTATTCAAAGGCTCATTTGAGCTGTTTCCATGTTGATTGAGATTTAAAATTTCTTAATTCAAGAATCTGATAGATTAAGGGGTTTGAAAGCTTTATTTAAGATGCCTGACTGACTTTTTAAATAATTATGCAGAGAAAAATATTTTATTATTATTTTGTAATTATATTGATGATGATGAATCCTAATATAGATTGTCAAAAGCTTTGTGTTGACATTTGTGCTTGTAATTTTTTGCTGTTCTTAATGGAGCATATTACCTGGAACTGAAGACAAGAGGGTGCAGTTGCATATTTAGTTGAAAAAAAATCCTTGGTTTTTAATTTTGGACCATCTAATTTGTCGATATAACTTGACTGTAAGAATGAGTAATTTGAAGTTTATTGGTCTCTGATACGAGACACAAGTCTTCTTCATTGTTTCCTTTTCTTGGGTTGTTTGGTCAATTTTAAAAGATTCTGATCACAGATGGAAGTATAAAATCGAATTCGTTGTTTTAGCGTGTATACTTTTCATGATTTTGAAAAATGATTGTAGACTTACAGTAGTCTGCTTATGTTGTAGGTTTTCAACTGGTTTTGGAGTCACTGGTGGTAGTGCTTTGATCCACGAATTTTACGCTAGAGAAGTTTCAAATCCTGTTCATTTGACTGTTGATACTGGATTCAAAAATGGCGAGGCTGCAATAAAGGGATTTGTCTCTATTAATTTATCTCTTGGAGATCAACAACTTGCTGCACAATTTCAAGAAATTCCATTGGACCTACGCATGGTTGAGGCTGAGCGTGTTGGTTGTATGTATCTGACCTTGAAATTTATTGAAATTTTGACATTTCATTTGGATACGTTTGTGAGCACGTATATGACAGGGCCCCACATGCAGCGTGTTAAGAAGTGTTAATCCTCTCTATGCCATGCAAAATGCAGCAATTGAGATACAGCTGGCATCATTTTTTAATATCAATTTGTTGTAAAAAATTGTAGAGAAATGTTTTAAGTCTGTGTATGGGGTACTTTCTTACTGCTTAGGAGAGATGGTTTGTAGCACAAGAAATTAGATTTGTGCCCACTTATGTATTCTGTACCTTAATTTTGCATGACCACGATTTCATCTGACAAGTTTCTCTCTTGACCACATGTAATTGTTTGTATAAGAAATAGGTTTTCCCGACATATCGCTTTGGGTGAATGTTATTGGTGCAGGTTTACTCTAAAGATAATGGTTGAAGTTTCCTTTAGTGCATGTGCATTGGGCAAATTTTTATTTAAAGTGACTGTCTGTTTCTTAGTACTGCTTATTTGTAAGTTTCTGATTATAAAGATATATTCTGCCTCATTATATGTTTCTTTCCTTATTTTTTTATATTTGTATACTATTATGCATACCCTAGTTGTCTTTCTTGCTTGACACCTCTTGTTTGGTAGTTAATTAAGAAAAATGTGTTTCAGAATTTAAACTGTAAGGTAGAGCATTTATATTTTGGATTACTATGTTGATGAAAAATCTCAATGGGAGTGTTTACAACTTTGTAGTTGATGTTCTTAAACCAACAACAGTGGACAAGATTCCCAATGATCTGGAAGGAATGGAAGCTTCAATGGAACGTTTGCTTGCTCTAATAGATGACGTTTACAAATATGTAGATGATGTGGTGGTGAGATAAATGATTTTTTTGCTATTATATTATGAGTTTGCTGCCCTCTGCTAATTTGTTGACTAACTGTTTTCCGTCCAGGAAGGGCGTGTTGCTCCAGATAATGACATCGGCCAATTTTTATCAGACACTGTAGCATCTATTCCGAAATTATCACCACACGAATTTGATAAACTAGTGAATGATAGTCTGCAGGTATATATCTTTCTTTCCCTTGCCTTCAAAAGGTTATCTTTTTGGGGCTGCAAGAGTTATTTGTCATTTTTTCAATGTTCTATTGTTTGGATACGGGTCTTTATTATTTCACTCTATATAATTAATTTGTCACCTTAATAATTTCAATGTTGGAAAAAACTCAAAAAAGTTTAGGGAATTGACAAAGCACTTGAAATAAGAAGTTGAGTAGTGATTTAAATAAAGGGATCTCGTGCTACCAAAATAATTAACAAAAATTATCAGGTGTAGATTCTGTTATTCTTATGCTAAGCAAGTGCAGAAATTAACACTGATTAAAGCAGAGGTTCTTTCATTGGTCTATCAAATGTACAAAAATGGGGGGAGATGCAGTCCCTTTTTGGGGCTTCTATAACTACTATTCAGATTGTTGGCAGAACTGGACTTGGTACTAACAGAATAAGCGTTGCTCATAAGAATATCTAGGTGGAGTTTGGGAAAAGTAAGGTACAAAGAAGGCGGAGATGTCATAGTTCCTTCTTTGGGACTGCTATAACTATGCTGCAGAATGTTGGGCCTCAAGTGGACTTGGTACCAACAGAATAAGCATGGTTTTGTAAGAATATCTAGGTAGAGTCGGTAAAAACTAAGGTACAAATTCATGAAAGTCAGCAAAGTGCCGTGTTTAAAAAGGTGAAGAGAAAAATTAATGTTAGCAAACGCTAAAAGTGGACCAGATGGTATTAGTTTGAAATAATTGTAATAGATGAAAAGGTAGGCCAGATATAACTAGTTTATAAGGTTATTTGAACAATGAGATTTTGGGACCGTATTCACATTAATGTCATTAATTTACAATTGAGATGAGGCTTTGTGAGTTGATAACTGACTTATTCTGGAACTATTACCGTTTCGTGAAGTGGTTTCCTTACTTTCCCAGTTTACTTGTTTCACTTGTCTTGCTAGTTAAAGTTTATAATTTATAGTTTCAGTTGGTTGATACTTATCAATCAATTAGTTCCACTTGCTGGAACTTGCACATATGTATAGAGGCTTGTTCTTGATCCGGATATCTCTTTCTGACCTCAAATTCTGTTTCTTCTTGCAGGACCAATTACTGTTACTTTATTTGTCAAGTATTACAAGAACACAACTCAGCTTAGCAGAAAAGTTGAATACTGCTGCTCAGATCTTGTGATGGATTTACCATTTCCCTGTTTGAAACTCATGCGATATGGCTCTTCCCATCATATTATTAGCGTGGTAATTCATGGAGGGAGGAAAAGCTTTGACTGAAAGTACAATTCATTTCACGATTTGAGCAATTTTGTCTCCGAAAGTTTTTAGAGCTAAATGTGATAGGATCTATATTATTAATTGGAAAAATTTCATGTTTGGTGTCAGTAACTGAGTCTTTAATGATATTCTGATCTCTTATTGTTTACTTTCGGGTCATTTTTTCTGTTTATGCTTGGAAGGATCGATATTGGCATAATTTTTGCCCTCGTTTGTCTCCCATTCTACTTCTCATTCTTTCTCTCTCATTTTCAATCACATAATCTTCCATAAAATAATATTAGATTGATCAATCGACTATAGGGGCGTTTTAGAGCAAGTCAGTAGAGATTGTAGGAAAATGACAATTATGACTGGAGTGCTTTCTCTTGATT